AAAACTTAATAAAATACATTTTGATTTCAAAATATTATTAATTAGTTAATTATGTGTTTTTATTTATTTCAGTTTTTTGATCCAGTGGAAACTTGACAGCATACATTTTAAATAAATATTTCATTTCACTGCTTAAAAATACACCTATAAAATCTAATCATTCACATGAAATGTTCATCTTTTACATTTGCATTATAATAAAAACAAATATAGCGCAAAGTAAAAGAATTGAGTGTAATTTCCTATTATTTTGATAGTTTAGGTTAATTTTTGAATATCCTTCCAAATCAAAATGATATTTTATACACAGAAATATTTGAAGGCATACTGAAAAGGGTTTGAAAAAAAGTCACATTTTGTTATGAAAACTTTTAACTTCATAATTTGGAAAATTAAGCTAAAATAGTGACACAATAAAGTCAGTTTTCGTTCAAAACACCTAATATAATAATGTTGTTTCCTGGGTTTCTTAGCGTTAACCTGGTCCAGATCTTGCAGTCCTCCCAGTTTGCTAACGACGGTCCGCGGCGCGTTTTCTCCCACATCCACTTCCTGAACACTCATGGCTTCCGCCAGCGGGTGGCGCCGGACGCTCAGGATTCTTCCGACACGCAGATCCAGACGTGACGCGTCGATGCGAGACTCCGCCCCCAAAGGGAGCGGGTCTGAGGCCGGACGAGCTACAAGGCGGATACAAAACGTGACTGTCGTTTTATTTTCCGCTGGTTTATTTTAGTTTGTTCTTACCTTTCCTCTCTCCTCTCCTCCGCCTGCCTGGTCGGTCTCTGCTCTCGCCAGAGGAAACGGAGGGAGGAGGACAGTTTGGAGGAACAGCAGCTGTTGCTCCTGCAGGGGAGGCGGGGTCAGGGTTGGAGTGGGCGGGGCTTACACTCTGAGGGGGCGCAGCCTGAGAGAACAACGCTTTGGCTGGAAGAAAGAAAACATGTTAAATCAGCAAGAAATTGATGAAAGAATTCATCCTGAGCTCAGTAACTATGTACCAATGACGACTGAATGCATCTGAGTAACTTATAGTTTAGCAAGATATCAAGTCTAACGCAGGCTGTCCGCCGTGTTTACAAGAGGTTAAAAACATTTCCATAACAATCCTTCAGAACTTTACGGTTCCTCAGTCCCCAATGAAAACATCTTTTAAAGAAACATTGGATCATTTTTTGACCTGGTGGAGTTAAGATGTTGTTTAGGGTGATGTAAAAGCGTTAAAGTTGTTGAATCGTTGGTAGTTTCTTTCAGAGTCCGTACCGGTGCGTCTCTTCTGCTTGTCCTGCAGCTGACCCCTCAGCTGGTCGATGTCCTTTTTCAGTTTGGCGTTTTCAACCAGCAGCTTCTTCTGCTCTCTGACGGACGCCTGCAGCACTGCAACACACACAATATCGTATCATCCACAAGGTGGTGCTGTGTAGTTTGGCAGGAAAGAGGGTTATGAGAGAGGGGGAAGACATGCGGCAAATGTCACCAGGCTGGGAATCAAACCTGCGACCACCATCACGAGGACCAAGGCCTCAATATGTGGGTTGTGCTTTGCCCCTGCACCACCACAGCACCTACAAAATGCACTTTTTTTTTTTTGCACTTTCATTCTTGTGACATTTTAAAGTTCGCTCAAAATTCGCATGACAGTTGGTGGGAAACAGAGCTCAAGATTAGCTACATTTTAGCAGAAATGCCAAACCTGCAGAATGAAAAAGGTTTGGTTGAAAAGTTCCTGTCTGACAACATGAAGCAGGAATTCATTACATCCTATACGGAACAACATTACTGTCAGTCTTCAAAGTTTACTAAATCAATTGTGAGTCTTTAGAAATGATCCACAGAAGCCAAGTTTCAACCACAAATCTGTTCAAAACATCTTTGATATTCTGCAAAAGATTTTAAAAAAAATAGCAAATTTGCTTTTTTTCTTGTTAAGCAAGAAATCCAATTAAAATGTAAAACATTTTGTTAGAGCTGTTTGGTTACCAGAGTTACTGGTGAATAATCACCAAACATATCTGGTCATGCCTTCAAACTCTTCAACATCCAGAACCAACATGTTTGGACCCGTCTGTCCCAACAGAACCAGAACCAAACTGGTTTCAGTCAACAGCTTCTGGGTGACCTGAACCCGGCTGAAAGGCTTTAAAAGCCTGAAATTAATGTGGGATTATGTTCATAATGAACACGTCTGAGCTGACCTCTGACCTCTAACCTGTTGATGTCATTATGCTCTCAGGGTTTGGGGTCTTACAGGCTTTTTCTCTGCTCAGCAGCGCGTGGGTTTTAAAGTACTCCATGATCTGCTCTCCATCATCCGGGTCCAGTTTCTTCAGAGCCTCTGCCAGGCTGAAAAAAAAACAACAACAAAAAAAACAACCATCAAATAAAACAAACCATGTGCTGACAGAGGTCAGAGGTCAAAGGTTTTCTGCCAATCTGAAATATTAGCAACAGTTTTCAGATTGTTGTTATTAGCATTAATTGTTTCCCTGTTAAAGAAATAAACTGATAATTTTTGTAGAAGTGGTTGAAATGTTTATAATTTTATTTTAAAATAAAAGTATTTGAACAAAAAAAAATCATTTTTTTTATTATATAAATGGAAAGATGTCTATTTAAAATGCCCTTTTCTGTCAGGTTCAGATGTCATCAGTCTGGTTAAACACCAACAGAAACAATATTCAGTCAAACATCATTATTCAAATGAAACAATGACGTCCCAGACGATCAGATCAGATGTTTATGTTTAGATGAGATCTGAGCGGCCGCTGCCTGCCTCAGGGCGCCACACACAGCTAAAGGTCAGAGCTAATGGACCAGAAAAGTTTGTTTTTATTAAACCATGAATGAGTGCAACAGCTTCCTGCATGAAATGATCATAAAATGGTACAATGTCAGAAGAACTCATGCAGACAATGCAAAACTTTGTAGTTTGTTTCAGAAATGGGCAAATAATTTCCTACTTATTCATCTCCGACAAACACAACAAACTTAAAAACGGCTTTGAAAAGCTAAGCGTACAACTCATTAAAAAACTGCAAATAGAACATTTTCAAAAAATACTTTTACATTTTTCTACAAGTTTCATTATTTTATTGATATTTAAAAATGATACATCAATCTGTGACACTCTGATGATACAGAATACAAATTCAAGACATCAGTGACAAGTCTGAAATTTCATTCCAGATATTTCTCATAGAAAAGCCGTTTAATTAACAATATCGGGAATTAATTTGGAGAATTTTGTCTAATCAAAATTGCAGTTTGATTATAGTTGTAATTATAATTGTAGAAATTATAGCTCCAGATAAAAAGTGAGATATTGTAACTTTACTTTGACTACTCATAATATAATTGTTGAAATTGTCTGAAATTTATATTTTAGATGGTCAATAATTAATTGCAGATATGTTAAATTAAAGCTTCCATACAAATTAATGGTAAATCCGATCTCATTTATATTAGTCAGAATGTAATTAGATCTTAATTTACAAATACATCTAGTCAAACCAATTTCAGATGTCTGGAATGTTGGTGTGGTGAAACTGATTTTATGTTAAATCGGCCTGCCATATCCTCAAAGAGACAAATTAGCATGCTAACGGAAATTAGCTAAAATATGAGAGAAAGTTAGATACTAAGGAAATTTTTAATGGTTTCAGCGGCAGATTATGTTAGATTGTGGACGTCAGACTTGTTGTGGACTCACAAACTTCACCGGATTAGATTAACTGGACCACTGCGGACGTAAAAGGACAGATTTTGTTCGAGATTTTTCTGTTCTGTCAATGATGGAGACTTTGATCGGTGAGTTGGACGTTATTTTGCATTTCTTAGTTGTTTGACAAAACAGTTCACTGTCCTCAGTTACTGTGTCCTTGATTTGTATAATTTGTTAGAACCTCAAGAGCCTTAGCTTTCCAATTATTTAAAATACGTAAAGTACAAACAAAGCGCATAAAGTTTTGACGTCCAGCACGCGGTAAGAACTGGTTAAGGAAAATGGAGTTAAATAAGTGGTACATTTTTCAGATTTGTCCTTGTGAAATTTGCATGAATGTGTATTTGTTTCAGATCTGTTTCACAATTACGTTTATTATTATTTATTTTTTGTTTGTGTGTTTGTGTGTGTCTGTTGTGAAGTGAACCTACTGGACTTCAGATGAACAAATAAGTTACACATAATTATTAGGCAGCTTCTTTTACTTAGGCAAGATGAGCTCAAAAGCAGATTTAAGAATAAATAAATAAATAAATAACAATATATATAAATATCAATACTTAATAAGTCTGATAGAATATTCACTAAACTCCGATCCAGAACCGCACAGCCTTCTGGGAGATGTAAACAGAGGAAAGGCTTTAGCTACTTAACTTCTCACAGCTAGCAAAGCAAAGCTGGTGGCATCAACTAACTCACTCTCTCACTCTTCGGTTGCTTAGCAACTTAGCCTTTGGTTTCCTAGCAACAACCTACTGAGTAACTTATTCAGCAGGAGTTTAAAGTTTGTGCCTCATAACTGCTTAAAGATTAAAAAACAGCAGCTTGGAGAGAAAACTGGATAAAACAGTAAAGGTCACAAAGCCAAAACCTCACATTTACTTCCGGAAACATGCATGTTTATTGTTTATTAACATTTCGAATTAACAGAGAGTAATGTAGTTGGTGATTAATAAGAATATTGTTTTAATTACGGCTGCTGCTGACGCTGTAGATGCGTGTTTTTGTCCTGTGGGAACCGTTCCTGTGTCCTCCCACGGCAGCTAAACAAGCCCACTCAGCTCCTGACAGGCAGAGACACAACAGCTGCAACAGGCCTGATGCTAAAAATACCTGGAGCTAGTGGAGCTCACTCACATGAACGTACAGTAACTACACTGACAACAGAGTCATAAATGACTGGGAAACACATGAAGTGGAGGAAGAAACTCAGAAAAAAATGACTAAAGTTTCAGTGAAACACCCAGATCTGCTGTTGCTCTAATGTTGACCAAAATGTTTCTACTCTAAGACTTAATCTGGAAAACAAAGGTGAACTAGTGCTACTTTTTAAGATACATTTGGGAATGAAACAGAGCAGCCTGATGTGAGAGGCGCTTGGTTTGTGTCGATAGAGGAAGCCGTAGAAGCGTTTGGTACCTGGGGTTGAACAGGTTGTCCATGTTGTCCATGTTGACGCTCGGCTGGTTCCGCTGCAGAACGCGCGTGGAGCGGAGCGGTTTTCTCCTCCGGTCCGCCTTCTGTCAGCTGTCTGCCTCCATCAGCACCGTCTGTGGCCAGGGGTCAAAGGTCACATACCTCCACTTTTAACCACAGGAGAATCAGAGGCTTACGTTTTGATATCCACCGTATTTCATTGAACAGAGTGAAAACAAACTGCATGATGAACGGCGCCTTGTGAAAGTCTTCACACCCCTGGACCTGTTCACATTTAGTCAATAAAACCACAAAAATCAGTGCATTTAATTCAGATTTCAACTTTTTATTCATAAAAGATTTATTTTATGAATAAAACTTTCTTTTCATTTTTGTCTATTACATAAAATTCCAATAAAATCTGAAATGAAAGTATTTATCTGAGATTTCAACCGCATAAGTCACTAATAAACAGTTTTCTTTGCTAATAAATAACATTTGTATTGATCTTTTTAAGGCAAGGTCAGCAGGACATGAATGTGTTTGAACTGTGGTTGCACTGATTTAATGAACAATTAGCTCCACCTAGTGGAGAATTGGACAAACTACAAGCCCCAAACTAGTCAGATGACAAACAGAGTGAACAGGTGGAGATGAGTAAGAAGTTGGATCTGGAGATTTGTGCTCCAGTTTTAATTTAGATTTAGTTTAACTTATTTAGTTAGTTTTATGGGGTTTTTTTACGTCAATTTTTTTTTTGTCAACTGACCAAGCTAACTTGCATTAGCAACCCTCTTTTGCATGTTGGCATTCAAACAGTGTTGTAGCATGTTTTACACCAATGTTTTGCATAGATGTCATTGATTTAACTACAAACAACTTACTGCAGTTAAACGGCATGTTGGATTTTGGGGTCAGGGTTGGTGAAGAACCAATGACTGCAGATCAGAGCTCTAAATTACACAAAGTTTTATTTTATTATATTTTTGAAGGGAACCTCTTGCTTGTCTGAATGTTACAGTTGACATGTTTCATTTAACTCATCAGTCACAGCCTGGGTTTTACGATTATGTAAGATTTGTTTCTGCTTTGTTTTGAGTGAACGAGGTGATAAAATGCTATTTTACAGCCTTTTGAGCATTAAAAAGCTGCACCTCTTGTTTGTTCACAAGCTTTGTTCTAATGTTATTTTCAATCTGCTGAGCCTGTTGTGTCATTTTAAGATCAAGAAGCTACAGTAAACCATATCTGACTGGGAGTAGCCTACCCTGTTCTGACATATTGAAAGAAATTGATTTAGGAAAGTGTTTCTTCAGTCTAAATTTGTTATTTTATAATTATGATCATTCCGTATTTGCATTCATTTTTTCCATTTTAATCTTCAAAATACCAGAAGTTGCACATAATACTTTTTGTCTGTAGGATGACATAATTTTTAACTATTACATCAGATGTTCAGATCTGTTAGTTACTCAACTTGAGTCACCTTTTTACCAAACACTTTTTACTCTTGAGTAATATCTTGGATAACGACTTTACTTGTGTGAAAATATGATGATGTAGTGCTACTCTTAGTTGAGTACACATTTTTGGTACCCACCTCTGTCTATGACGTCATAAAAATATTCAGCCATAAGAAAATAAGAAACTGAAAAAATATTTTTGAAAGTTCAAAAATAACAGTGAGCTATTTTTCAAACCCATTTCAAAAATAAAATCTGATTGTTTGGAATGAAAATACCCATTAATGAGACACGAATGAGAGAAAAACTGCATTCAGATTGTTTTTACTGTCAGATGTTTTAATATTTTTTTAATTATTCCGTTTTCATATTTATTAAATCAGGCAGTTAAAAATACACACCATTTTCAGGTAAAAGCTTATGTTTCCATGTTTACAATACTGACTCCAAATGAGCCATAAAGTTCAAGTTTAACAAATCATTTTGGGTAATGACAAATATTTTAGATTTATCTGCCCAAACTTCGCTGCTAGCTTCAGCTAGCTCCGTATTTCTCCGCTTTCTCCGGAAAGTCTCGAGTGAAACCGAGCTCAGGTGAGTCATGCGCAGAGGTGAGTCAGCGGGGCGGAATCCGAGAGAGAGAGAGAGAGAGAGAGAGAGAGAGTGCTGCCTGGGAGCGGAAGTAAGCGAACCATATTTGGAGTCTAAACATGGAAGAACGCCGGGCACGAGGCGGGGCGGGGCTCTTCACTGCCAGCGGAGAAAAGGAGGGAGGACGGAGGGGAAGCTGGAGGAAAGTACACGTTTCCGAGAAGAAGACGTGAAATTGTTTCAGAAAGCGGTGAGTACATCTCTGTCTACCTTATTACCAGAAGAAAACCCTGAATTATTCTAGATCTTTTTAGTTAGTGGAGAGGAAACCCGCGCAAACAGTTAGGTTTTGTGGTCGGCAGGTGTTTTCCTGGATTCAGCTTCATGTCGTAATTTCAAAATGAAGGACTCAAGGGAAACTCAGAAAAACAACAAAAAATCAGTTTAAAGTCTCCGAGCGATTATCCTTGACCTTGAGCGATCGATAGGTTGACTTGGAGGCAGTTTTTAAAGAAGGTAAAAGTTTGTTTGAGACTATTTTGATTGAGCTAGCTTGAAAACAACTGCGAGGTAAATATTTTACTGAAAAAATGGGTTTCCTGCTCTAGAACTACATTTGCATTTCAGGCAGTTAGGAAAGTGAATATTGTTACTTATTTTCTGTTAGTTTGTAAAAGTGTTTAAAAATGTCATGTTATATTTTAGTGAAATATATCTGCATGTTAAAGTTCTAAAATTAAAGCAAGTTTCCTTAATTTATTTTAAACGTATAAAACATGATGCATAACATTTTTAATAGCCTTGTCTGACATCTGTTAGTGTTTTATTTTAGTGTTAAGAATGTTTACCTAAGCGTCTTTATGAGACTTGTATTTATTTGATTAAATGTGATTAATCATGGTTTATTTATTATTAGTGAATAGAATAAGCTGGTTGCATCATGAATGTGAAGCTTAGATAATGTTTGACAGTCTTTATTGAGAGTAATCTGACTTTCATTGACTGATAATCTGGAGTGTGTCTGGATCACATCTGTTTTCAGGCTTGTAGCTCCTCCTCTCCCGCCTCGTGTTGATGAATCAGCTCTAATCTGTGGAAATTGAATTCCCGTGTTTCTAACTTCATTAGGCCTAATTCCCCGTTACTCCATAAACAGGATGCTGCCAGGAAACGCACAGAAAGTCTGTTCAGAGGAGAAACTCTCCAGGTTAAACGGGTCCAAACAGCAGCTGGAATAGAGCACAGCTTTCTGTTAAAGTTTTGATCTGTAACATTAGTTTCAACGGCCTGGAAACAGGTTTTAGGCCTGGCCTTGGTGAGTTTGCTTTTTCTGTGACATATGATCAACCAGGGATGGTTTCCTTAATCCCCTTGGATGAGTTGGTGGTCACAGGTTTTAGCTTTAAGCTCACATACCGGCCATCTCATGTAAACATCACACATAGGTTCCTGGGAGTCAGCGGGCGCAGGAGGCATTTAACGCACACACTACATCTGAAACAAACTTTTCTTACATTTCTGCACACATCTGTCCTGATGCACAAGTACAGGTGAGTCATTGAAGAAGAAATGCTAAAACCAGAGCTAGATGTCCTGCAGCAGAGCCTCAGTAGAGCGGTGGTGTTACAGTGCTGGTCCTGCAGGATGCAGACCCACCATGTGACCCTCCTGCAGCCTGCTGCCCCTTCAGGTCTCCCCTGATCCAGCTCTGTGAGCAGCTGCCCATAGAAAACCCCTTTGCTCTGGATGGGACCCTAAAGCTCCCACATACTTCATCCAAATCCAAGCAGGCAGTCATGCGGTTCCTGCATGTTTGCATTTACACACACCTCCCATACAACGGCGCAGACGTTCTGGAAACAGACTAATCCATGAACAATGTTGTAGTTTCCATCCAGGCCTTGTTAACCATTCACCAGTCATATTATTATAAGAGTTACTCAGTGAAGAATCATAAAAGTTTACATAATTCCTCATTGCGTCAGATAAAAGTTTCTATGTCTCCTGCGGTTACAGAAACCGGATAGTGGAAGAGAAATGTCAACATGTCTGTCTGAGCAACGTCCGCATAAAACTCAGCAACAAACTTCTGACCAATCAGACAACACTTCGGACTGAGTTCTGTAGAAATAGTTGGACCCGGCCTGGTGTCGAGTTCAGAAACAAAATGATGCAATGTTTATCTCGTCAATGAGAACCGATTTCGGCGCTTCGCATAAGTATGTCGGGGTCTTTCTAGAGCCGATCAGAACATCTACTCATCCCGGACAAATTCATGGTTCTGGTAAAAGGTCTGTTGTAGGTTTGCTGTTGGCTGCTGCAGTTAAATGTTCCTACTGGCTCCTATGGTAGGATCATGATTGGTGCTCTGTTGTTGCCATGAATCTCCCATAACAGAAAAAAGTTGCTAGAGGTTCTGAAAAGTCACTAAATGTAGTGACAAAGTCTCTCTAACAGACACCCAGCTGTTGATTTACGGTTATTTTGAAGAATTTAAATTGTGCATTGAGAGAGAACCACTAAACATCTCCACAGCATGAAGCTGCCACCACCATGTTTGGCAGCTGGAGCCGCGTTGTTAGGCTTGGAAGCCTGATGCTGATTTCTCTAAACGGCTCCATTTTAATGTGACGATAAAGTGTTTCTGCTGCAGGTTCATATGGAACAAGCTGCAGGCCAAAACCTTTTCACTGCGTCCTCTGGAGCCGTTCAGCTTCAGCTCTTTGCGAGTTAAATCATTTACGCTGCAGTTGTTGGTCATCTTGTCCAAATGGAAACATTCCTCCTCCTCTGGTTTCATCAGAGGGATAGAAAATATTTTTGATATTCAAATGTGTGAAGCTCCACAGATGGAGAGCAAATAAAAGGACTTTGTGTCTTCAGCTGAAGGTAGAAAGTTTTATTATGCAATCGGTTTGACTTTTTAAATCACTCCACAGCCACAGACATCAAAGCAGCTTTACAGCTGCAGCAAAGGTAGATTAGTTATTCTGGCCTTTAATGTCCATTAGATTGTTTTATTCTATTCATTTATTGATTACAATTGTATTTATATTTTTAATTTTGTGTACTTCTGTTATTGATTATAC